GTCAACCTGATACACGGAAATAGGTCAGCTTGATGCTGACATCCGGAAGGATATCACAAGATATGAACAAGTGTTCATATCTTCAGGAACAGGAACAAGTGGACAGTGTCCAGGTGATACATAATCAGTATTCCACAACAGTTAACATAGTAAATTATTATTTGTTTTACAGTTTCACGGCACATAATTTATTATTTAGGAGCAGAATGCTGCCTAAATTCAACCCAGAGCGCCACCTGCTGTTTTTTCTGCCTGCAAACCCACAGCAGAGGTTCAAAAGTTAGATGTGAAGGATCAGATTTACGAGGCACAGCAGGGGACACAGACGTCTGGTGAGTAATGGTTTAAAAAGTTCACATTAATCAGATAAAAGCTATAATTGCATCCTTACACACTGGATGACGAACATTTCGTTTGATTTGATTTGCCTGAGAAGAACAAAGTGGTGCTCAGTTGATGAAGGCCAGACAATCAGGCCTGAGCTGTCGTGAACTTACAAGTTATTAAAAAAAAACTTCTCAGCCTCTTGAATTTATATATTTTTATTTTACTTATTTTTTTCAATGATATTAATTAAAAAGGTTTATGAGTAAAACAAACTAATTAACCTTTTTATCAAGAATAGTTAATATATATATATGACCCATTACATAAAACTGAGAATTAAGTCAAATTTGGTCAAAATGACTGACGCACATTTTCACATTCCTGCTTTTTAAGCTACGTTTAGATCCTCCTGATATCAAGAGTAGTTCCAGAGACGTACTGGTACTTTGATTTTTCTGCCTAAACAGGATAACCCATTGACATTTGAGCTGAATCCTATTTTTAGGTTATTTTAATGAGGAACTTTTAATGTTATTATAAAGGTGAAACCTCAAGCAATATTTGGCTATTATGATTTCTCGGTTGAAAATTATATATAAAAAAACTTTGCTATTGGAGAAAATGACACACATTGAAGGCTTTTCTCCTCACAATCCCATTTTCTGTTGTAACTCATCAAAAAAGTGGTTTGAGATTGTATTTCAGATATTATATTTAAACAACCCATAGATAAATGTGTTTTACTTTAACAAAATGCAATTATTGCAAACGTTTTGACCAAAACACTATCTATCTTTTCTCCACAGACTCCTTTGGGATTTAATCCTTGGTTCGATGTGATGGGTCACGTGTATAAATCTGTTCGTGGAGCAGTAACAGAACATTTTCAGAGTTGTTTTAATGCAGTCTCTTGTAGCTTTCGATAAACTACAGAAAAAAAAATATTTCAGATGGCACAGAGTCCTCTGTTAGACCTGCTGCTGCCCTTTTGAACACAGGTGACTCATCCTGTCTTGTTAAGGTCAGCGTTGGATGAGGATGTGATATGTTTTGAGCCGTCCATACTCTCTTAAAGTCCAACAGGGATGTGGATCTGTTTGGTGGGGGGTGGGGTGGGGATCGTAACTCGACTGCAACCAGAAGAAAACTCTCAACCTTTTCCTCCCAAAATGTTACCGACCTGTCCGGACTCCCTACTCATCTTCATCTACGCTCACTGGCTGTGAGTAAATAATGTCATGACCGAGGGTCAGTTAGGTATGACGAGTTGACACAAGTTCATGTGTGTTGTGTTTGACGAGAACCCGTGACACCGTCGACCTTTGAAGAAAATCTGTAGGACCAAAACATGTGCAGAAAAAAAAGACGTGTTTGATTTTTACATTTGTCTCTTTTGTGTGTTGAGATGGTGCAAAGACGTTTATGTACGGTCACATTTACACTGTTGGTTGTTTAGAAGTGATCAGTGGATCATTTCATAAACATTAAGGACCCAGAAGTGGCTCCACTGACAATGAGAGTTATGGTATTCTATATACAAGGAAAGTAAAAAGGTAAATGTTTTTATTTACAGTGAATATTTTAAGCTGGAGGGAGGATGAGAGATCTGATCAGAAAAGATGCTGGATGAATTGACGTTATATAATCTAAATAATATTGTGCTCTTATTCAACAGAGGTTGCTGAGGAGGCTGGCTTGCAGGGGAGAGTAAAGGTTTCCAAGAAAGAGAGCTGAGTTTAGGTAAGTTTTTGTTGTGATTCAAGTGGCAGTACAGAGGACGAACAGATTCAGCAGAGAGTTCCAGCAGGTACTGTAGGTCCAAGGAGAAGCTCCGGTAAGGTCTCAGGTAGGTCCAGAAATCCTCCAAACACAAATAAAACAAGGTTTCTTAAGGAGGATGTCACTGCTAGCATGGTTAGCTCTCAGGAGCCTCACCAGTGCCGAATCAGGAACAGGTGAGTAGAAGTGGCTCTGCCCCTGTCACTCTGGAAGCTGCATGGTGAGAGTCAGCAGCAACAGCAACACAATCTCCACACAACTCTTGTCTGATTACATCATATTTGTTTACTAATATCATGGCTCGAGCTGCCATATCGTTTTCAGCAGATTCGGCATGTGTTTTGTTTACGTTGAGTGCATACCCACATTTCAGAACAGCACAGGAATATACCTAAAAAAGGTGAATGAAGTAAAGTCTTTCAAACTGCACCTTTTATTATGATTAAGGATAATGTTTACATGCTTGGTTTTATATTTTGCAACAAGCAAAATACATTTCTAGCTTTCTTTATCCAAACTTGATTTAACGAAAGAGTTATCATCAACAGGTAAAATAATAATTCTTCATAACTTTCTCACTTTTAAATAGTTACAGCTGTTCATCCCTTTAATTAATCTTTAAAAAAAGAATTGTTGATTGAAACTGATTTTCTTTAAATAGGCTTTAACAATATTTAGGTCTTTTTTTTCCCTGCATTCAAATCTAGCTGAAAATAATAAATCCATTTGAACTCAATAAATAACAGTCCGTTCAGTGTTTCCCTTTAATGTGTCTTAATTGTGCACGTCTCCATCTGGTCCTGTTGGTCCAGAATTGGTTTTCTCCTCACGCCAGTTAACAGAAACCATCGCCGCCCTGTGACGCTCACACTTGAGTCACCCTGAAGTGTCTGAGGAAATAAGAGCGATCAATAATTACAGACTATAGATGATCATTTGTCAGCTTCATTTTGCTCATTTTGGTGCAGTTTCCGAGTGTTTTTTTTTCCTTTCTTTTTTTTCTTCAGACTCTCTGACGCAAAGCTGTATCAGGAGGAGCTTTTTAACTTTGATCATTAGTCATTCCCATCAAAGCCAAAAGGGAGAGGAACTTCTGCAACCTGTTCATCTACATCCATCCAATCAGGAACCTAAAACAAAATCATTGATTATAGTGGATATTTTCTAAACTTAGATCAGGTTACTCAACAGCAGCGACGGGATTAAAGCAACCCTCTCTGTTAGGATCTGACGTTTTCTTGAATATGATGGGTGGAGTGTGTCTGTGCTGCTCATGGACCTGCAGACCTCTGTGGCCACTTTTTATCTTTCTGGCTGCTGCTCCTTGTTTCTTGCACTGCTCAGAGACTCCTGCTGCAGTTGTTGGGAAGATGTATCCACGAGGAAATCACTGGGCAGTAGGTAAGAAAAAAACTCCACTTCTAGTCAGAAGAAGTCTATGACTTTTGTCATATTTAAAGCAAATCATTTGGAGTAAATATTCTACAGGGACAGAGCTCCAAACCTCCCTGGAATCATGAATTTATTGTTTATTTTATTTAGGTTTTTTCTTATAAATTTATTCAATATTAATATTTCTAAAATATTTTCTTTATTGAATGTGTGATCACATTTGTCATCAATTTAAACTGGCTAATTCTAATTATTTCCAGGCCATTTGATGGGAAAGAAGAGCACCGAGAACCTGCAGAAGCCAAACGCTGACAGTGACTACCTCACAGATCCACAGTCCGTCCGGACCTTTGAGCTGGACCAGCCTGAAGGACCTGCAGAGGCTCTGCAACCCAGGGACCAAAACCAGAAAACGCTGCAAAGACTCCTCCACAGCAGCTGGAAAAGAGCAGGTGACAGGGCGGAACATCTCCAAGAGGTCAGTCTGCAGCTCCAAACATCATGCCTGTGTTTCAGATAAGAACTACAACAAATGGTAACATGTCTGATTTAATCACTGTTTTATAGATGTCAGACCTGCTTCATCTGGCTTTGAAACTGCAAGACATCCAGTCCTCCTGAGGGAAAGACAAATCTGTTCACTTTAAACAGCCACAGCTGTTTTAGTCTGCTTCATACCCACATGTTCACTGTGTAAACTTTACGCTGTCTGAAAACAATACAAAGATTTAAAAAACAAGTTCAGTTTTCAGTATTTTAATATTACTTTATGCGAATCATGAAGTACTTGAACTACTGATGAAGAAAGTAAGAGAACATTAAATAAATTGCACATTGTGACAACTGCATTGTGAAAGTCAATTCCTGCTTTACATACAATAAATGAACTTATTTTAAAGTATGTGTTATTATTTATGTTTTAAAAACACAACCTCGAGCCTTCAGCTCTACACGAAGACATATTCTGTTGTGCTCAGATATAAAATATACATGCATCATATTTTATTTTATTTCTTGTTTGTCAACTTCTAATAAAATACTTGGGTTTATTTTCTCCCCCCTCCTGGTCATTTACCGGTGTTTGCCACTAGATGGCGCAAAACGTCAGTTTTAGGAGAATTGCAAATAAAAAAATGGAATATAACATGTAAACATGATATAATCACAAATTAAAAACAGGTCGTTAGAGCTGTGGGAGTCTGGTGAATTGTCAAAGGGGATGGAAACATTAAATAAACAAACAAACAAACAAACAAAACTAGTGTTTTTGTTTTTTTTAGAAGAGTTAAATAGATAAACAGGAAATACTTTTTGAAAAGGAAAAAAAAAATTGTATAGGTCCTCTGGACGGGTTCTTC